CTGGTCACATTCCTAAACGATTTTTTCTTCTTTCGCTTTCTAGTTAAGTTCATGGTTCACCCTTGGCCCAGGAATGGGCCCTCCCAGAGCCATACCTTTCTATGCGTCCACGCATATCCTTTCTTTATATTTTTTTCTCGGCGGTAATCTTATTTGAACATACCAGTACAACAACTTAATTATTCTGTATATGTTTTTTTAAACATGTGTTTTTATTTGACCAGGCCTTGGTTAGGGAAACCGTTGCTCGGTCGATGCTCTTCTCAATACCAGGTAGATCGCTTCTAAAGAGGATTTTTCACGTTTTTGAGGTCCTTTTCTTGGTTCGAAGAGCTTGTACCTACCCAAACCCAAGACGGGTAAACGCTCCTTCAATCATCCTGCCTTTGTCCTACAAATCCGAGCCCTCTGAACAGCACAGCCCGCGGGTCTGTGAGAGGTGTTTCCAGCATTTCAGCGAAAGCAGCTCCCCATGAGGAAGTCGCATGGGACTGCTTTCGCCCCTCCGTCACGTAGTGTCCTTGAGCGCGCAAGCATCTGGATTTGCCAGTCCCGCACACGCAAGGTGTTCTTGGGCACGGGCTTTACGATCCGGCTGTCCTTCCTTTTCAGGCAGCATCCTTGGTCGACATCACTTCAAGTCTCAGGGCCGTATGGTGCCGATTAGCGTCAAGATCAAGCTGGAGCACGCCTTCTTGCCGCGATCAGTTTGCGCTGCGGGCTCCGTGATCTGCCTGCTTGTCCCTCCTCAATCCCGTCCGTGGCCGCGTTAGCGGGCGGCATCAGCGTGAGCGTTGTATTGTCCGTCGACGACCAACTTCTGCGTGTTATATTGTATGTGCTGTCGCGTATCCAGTTTCGCTTTCGCTTTTTGCCGCCCGGCGCATAATGCGACGCTTCCTGGCTAGTGAAAACCACCTCATCGGCGGTGGCGCTCTGCCTGACGCATGCTTCAGCCCAATCACTTGATCAACGTTCTTTGATTTCACCACTTCTTAGCGCGCACGACATCTCGAAGGCATCTAAGGAGTCTGGTTTTCCCTGAAAAGGGACTGAAAGATCGAAGAAAGTAGTAGCATCGAACGAACGCTTTCTTGTGGATTCACACGGGTCCCCCCGAGTTTACAAGTAGCATCGATTGCTGTGATGTGCCATCTGTTTCGCAGCGTACTGACCAAACGCATAATGAACTTTGGTCGTGGTCGCTTCGTCGCGTTTGCTGCATGCGCCTTCGCTCTCATCTTCGTCACCATCAGCTGCCTCTCGGCCTCTTTTCGCTATAATTCGTCTCACAATTCGAGCTTTTACTCTTTCTGCATCGAGGAAAAAACGCTGCGCCCGTGTTTGATCCGACTTCCCATCTCTCGTGTTCCCCAGAGATCTCGAGCTCAGTGGCGAGATAACTAGGAGATCAGCGTTCACCACTGAGCCATTGCTCATCTCATCGCTCACAACAACCACGCGTTTTTTATCCGTTCGTTTGCGGGTTTTTCGAAGCTCACCTGATTTTTTGTTCGCTCATTAGATTGTCTCGATAAATTGGGGCTATTTTGAGGCCCCGCGCTATCGAGTAAGACAGCGCGTGGGTTAAAATTTGAGATGAACCTTTATGATTTCGAAATGCTCTTTCAAGTCTTGAGGCTCTTTCCAGCCTTTACCCTAATCCTACCTTTGGCGCTGAACCCCTCTCAGCCTTTCTGGTACCATTCCACAACGGATTTTAGATTTTTCTCGGATTTGAGATCAGCCGTCGTCCCATCCACCCCATACTGTTCATCGATGTAGGGGCGAATTATGGTCGTATTCGTTCGATTTCTACCGTAATCCGCTCGTCGTTGTGTCGTTACGTAACGAGGACCAGTCCGGTAGCAATTACGCGCCAACCGGACACTTTCCCTCTCAATGTCTCGCTTTCACTGCTTCGTGCCCTAAGCGCCCTTAGCGCATCCCACACACACACACACTCTTCCGCCGCCCATTCCGCGCCAGCTTTTTGCTTCTTAAATTCACGTCGCGACTTTTTTATCTCAATTCAGCACGTGATCATTATGCAGGAATTGTGCACAATTGTCAACTGCCTTGATGACTGACTGTCCACGAATGTCTGAGCGGGAGCAGCTAAGCGATTTGGGGGGGGGGATGAGCCAATGGCTAGTGTGAAGTTCAGAAATTGCCCCACGGTGGCGTGTTCTTTTTATAGATCTGTTTTTTTTCTCTTCGAGTAATAGACCGCCGCCGGCTGGCGCTTCTGGTGGTGCTTGTAAATCGCTGCAGCACATGGCGGCGGCAAATCACCAGCAGCTTCTCTTTGTTTCGTGCTTCTATCTATCTCGCGGCCCCGTTACTGCCCTGGTCGGCGTTGTGGCCCCTCACCAGTGAAAACCATCTCTGACAGCGATTGCGATTTCATTTCGCAGCGGTTGGCGACTTTGACGCGCCGCGCCACTGACGGCTATGGCGCAACCGCTTGCAGCGGGTGGCTTCACAACCGGTCCAACGAAGGCGAAAGCCCGGAACCCGTTCTTCTTGGCAGCGGATGAGTGGGTGAGTGAAAGTGTGGAGTTCAGGCGAACCTCGCGCTACGTGGGATCTCTGAGGCAACTAAGCCTGGGGAGATGATGACCATCACGGTTGGGTGTTTCAGTCTACACTGTTATCGTCTCAGTTCAGCAGCGTGTATGCAGTCGCGTTGTCTCTCCCTGTGCTCGCTCCACTGTCGCCTCTTCCCCCCCCCCCTCTCACTATGTGTTTGTATTGCAAAATGTACGAGCCGAGCGGCGTTGGCTTATTCATGATTCTTTTGTGACGTCATGACGACCAAACGAAATGCAAATAAGCTGTCTCCAGACCATTTCCGCACTGTCAAGCCAAGAGGTCCGCGTGTGCTACGTGTTTTGCACGCTGGCAAGCTCGGCTCGGCGCTCATGGGGCCGGCTAATTTCTGTGGAAAGTAGTCGCGTGTGTGTGCTGTGTTACTGCGTTGTTTCTCCTTTGTCTACGTACCTCTGTTCCCACCAAATGTTAGGGCGTTATCGGCGCGTTATCAGCTCCGGCTGATTGCGTGGACAGCGGCGAGGTGTTTCTGCTCTCTCGTGCATTTTCGATGCCAAAAATGCACTCTTCAGTACCACGTGTTTACAGTCCGGAATTTATTCGCTGTATATGATCAGTACAATTCCAAAAAACCGATCAAAATAGGATCTGAATGGTCCTTCAGTAAGGGACCAGAACTGCAGCCATACGGGGAGTCGTTAGGTCTACAAATAGGAAATAACTTTGTTTATCTGGTAGATCTTCAGCGATCAGAGTAAGGTCAAACTGTGAGACTCTCGAGAACTGCCGCCGTTCGTCGAACTTCTTCAGTTTCCCCTCTTTGACGTTTTTCCTTACCCTCTTGTCGTCCTCAACCACTTTCCACCTGCTGCTGATCTACTTGCCCCTTTACCCCTTCTTCGATGTCTCTCGATGGTTCGGTGATTTCTTCTTCCTGCTCTCAAGGAGTGACCTTTGAAGGGGTGAACTTGTTGCGTCGCAGGCAGTGCCGGATTCTGCTGTTCAGTAGGGGCAGACCCATTCAGAGTGAGGAAGGGGAGTTCACTTTTGATGCACGAGCATTGCGCTACGTTTTTTGCGCTACGTATGCGTTACGCAATGCTCGATGGTGGCTGGCGAAAGCGAAAGACGAGGACCGGTCTGTTCAGGTTGGCGCTTTTTGCGTGTGTATGTGTGTGTGTGCCGCGCAACGTGATTATATCCCAACCCCAACCCCACTGGTCGAGCACTTTCACCTCAGTCTCCGCCTTCTTTTTCGACAGTTCTCGTCCCGGACGAACTTACCCTACTCCCTCGACTTCCTATCCTCTCTTGCTTGCATTTCCGAACGTCCACCCTCTACCACGCTTGAATGCATCGTTCCCGAATGACGTCACACGTTTCATGTTCCCGGAAGCGACACTGCTTCTTTCGTGTGGATTTCGTCTCACTTTGTTTGGACGGTCCGGTTCCCGGCCGGAGTCTACCGGTCTTCTTCCGCCGCGGACACTTCCGCACTCGGCCAGCTTCCGCACTCACGCCAGTCGCGTGCTTTTTGTTGTCGTCATTCTTGAGCTCGTCGGAAAAGCCGCTTTCGGTCTCTATGGCCCTTTCCCAGGGAGCCGCTTTTGGTCTCTATGGTCCCCCTCACCATCCACACCACTACTCGTCTTCCCCCTCGTGACTGCCACAAACACACGTTTTTGGGGGTTACCCAATTAAGCGCATGACAAATGCCGTGTTTGGGTGGTCCCGCTGATATCAGCGCCTGTGAGCTCCGTAGTTTTTGGGGGTTACCCAATTAAGCGCATGACAAATGCCGTGTTTGGGTGGTCCCGCTGATATCAGCGCCTGTGAGCTCCGTAGGCCGTCGCGGGGCGATTTCGCGTTTTGTCTGCTTCTTTGATACGACTTTTGTTTCGACTCCAATCTCTTATCTCACACCTTTGTTCTTTTTTATTCGGGGTGTCCGGGACGAGAAGAGACTGAAATAGTACTAGGCGGTTGCCATTTTTGACTACATCTCGTCCAGCTCAAGTTGCTGCTCAAGTCTCCTTCTATCTCAGAGCTTTTGTTAGTACTTTGCCATTTCTCTTTTCGCTATGCGATGGCTCTTCGGGTAACTGGTGCAGTACTGGTTTTTGGTTTTTACAGGCATTCAACCCACCATTGCTGTGCAGTCCCGCGACGAGAAATTGCCCTCCAACAGTTACCGATGAAATAGCAGAGGTTCGCTACCCTTCATTCTCTTTGCCACCTCATTGTTTTCTAAATTTATGAATTCAGGCTTTTTGGAGGATTTACTGACTAACTTCTCTGATCGAACCGTATTTTGACTGCATTGAAAGAAAACCACAACCAAGGCTGAAAATCACGAGAGGTTCCGTTCGATGAGCTGTATCTCTCGGTCGAAGTCACAGGTATGTTGTTACCCTTCCGGGGTACCTTTTCTACCTCCCTCCTAAAGAATGTGTCTGTTCAAGGTGATAGACGGCAGCAGACGTCGACGGAAGAACGCTTGTGATGCCGATAACGAAGTACTTAAAGAAAGCGGTAAGCTGGTTGCGAGATGGATTAAGAACGATAACCTCCACAGTTCAGTTACATTTAGGAAGCACGCCTATGGCCTCATCGGACAGCGGCGTCGAATCCGCAGCAGAGGTTGACTTGACAGAGATGAAGGTACGTCACCTGGGCTCGCCGATGGCCTCCGAGGAACTCAGCACATCGCTTCAGGCGACTGACTCTCCCATGTCTCGTGGAGCGTCGTCGCCACATGATCGTTATGATCTCCTGCTCTGTGGCGATTGTCATGCCCAGTTTCCAATCGCTCATTTCAGTACATTCATTGAGCATAAGGTCAGTCACTGTACCAGGCTTTGGCAGCCTCTTTCAGTCCAGCCAGGTAATTGCTAAATTCCAGGTGTCAAACTGCGGTGGGAAATCGACGCCGTCAGAGGTCATCGACGAGCGGCCGAGTCGTCGGCGAAACTTCAGTCACGGCATGGTAAGTAACCCAACCCTTGGTAACCCAGCTCTTGCCCCGGTCGACCACTCTTCCTTAGAAAGTGATCAGCTCAGTTTCAGACGCGTTGTGTGCGTTCATCGTCGGCGAATCCGCTGATGGTCGACTACCACATTCACAACATGGACGTCACCACCGACACTGACGATCTCGGTAAGAACCATCGTCATTTTTGAGCCAGCACTTTCGCCTATGCGCGAGACCGTCGTTGAGAACGGCACCTGCCGCGACCTTGAGACGATTTTGGAAGGCACGCGTTGGCAAGTCGCCAGACGGCGTCTTTGTCTGTTGCGGGTGATCCTCGGGTGAATTGCTCCCGCAGACATCATGAGATCGTTGGTCAATACGCTTACTGTGAATGTTAATTCTTTGAACCCACGACTAAAGCTCAGTGCCAGTTCGTTGATGCGTTTGACGGAATCGGACGTGAACCTGCTCCACACGTACGATGTCATGTCGTCAACGTTTAGGGTGTCCGGTAGATTGCACAATAATCGTATTTGCTTGAAATCTCGACCGCGCACCACGACTGGAGTACGGTATGCCATTGCTGTGTGCCTCGATGTTGACTCGTTTCCTGCGCTGCGCTCTCCGGAATTCCCAAGCTCTTTCGGTTTTTTTCTGGCGCCGCAAGCGCCAAATAATAGCCGACGACCAGTTTTGACCGAGGGCACGCAATGCGCTCAGCGCCGGTGACGGCGACGATGGTTGGTTGCGCCATTGCGCTCACGCGTCCCCCACCACTCGAGACTCACTTTGGGGGGGGGGGGTGCAGGGAGCACAACTTAACGAAGAAATATTGATAGTGTGGGGACTGTGCTGGTTTGAAGGGCCATTAGGGCGATAGGGACCGATCCGCACAAAGGTCTTTCATCTCCCCGGAGCACGGAAACTTATAGTAACTGCTTGTCGAACCCTAGAAAATGTTCCCTCTCTAGTTTTGGGGCGGCCTTCGGAAGGGACAGGAACAAGGTTTCAGAGTTTGTTTTAGCTCTTTCTCCTCTTCTAGCTCTACTACTTTGCTCCTGTCCTTTCTAGAACCATATTTGCCGCTCAGCCTTCCTTCGCTTGAGGAGGAGCTTTCTACAGAGACGATGCCATAGAACTTGACGATTCGAGTGCTTAGTCAGGATTCCGCATTATTGGAGCTGTGACTCATGATTGTCATGGGTAGGGGTTGAAGGCCACATTACCGAGGACTGGTCGAGATCTTACTTCAGCCTTGGCTGTCCTGTCTAACTGTCGCCTTCTGCTTACGGTGCCAGCGGACGTGAAGAGAGGAGGGCTTCCTTCCTACGGAAAGGAAAGTTAGATTGGAGTAAAATGGTCAAATTCGACCTTGATTTTGGATTTTTCCTGAGCTAAGTGAAAGAATCGCCCTCTCTTTGTGCTCTTCAGTAAGGAAGGAAGGAAGGAAGTCTGTTCGAATGACCATACCTTTGCTACCGTACCATTGTGCTCGTGGTTAGGTCAAGCTCCAGGGAACCCTCCGACAGGTTACCCTGTTTAATTTGGTCCTCGTGGCTTCAGTGGCCAAGCGCCAGGTTATTTGCTGCGTATCAGACCACGTGCGTTGAGTCACAGGGTTGATACTCACTAGAGAAATCTCCAGTACCGTCCAATTCTCCGACCATCCTCGCCCTGGTGACTTAGTGGTTGGTCGCGCAGACAGTAGTGCTTACTTCGAGCGCTGGGTCATGTGATTTCGTCCTTGGCAAACGCAACGAGAAAAAAGCGCCGAGTGGAGCGAGAGACGGCCGGCCGAACTCAGATGGGGGTCAGCGATTGATTGATACATGCCGATGCCGAGCTGGTGGACCCTGGGTGAGAACTTGGGTGTCCCTGCGGGGTTCTTTTCCCGTACACTTTCAGGACTCCATGAAACCTTCTCCACTTCTGGTATGCTCAACAAATTGAATTATCCTATCATGGGTCTGCAAGTCCGTGTGAGGCCATTGTCAGAGCAACTGTTGGTACCGATCAATGGCAGTTAATGCGCTCAAATGGTAGATGATGGTGTCCGATGTGGAATGTCTGGATGGCTGAGCATACATTGTCCACTGTTTGCTGGCATGAAGAAAACGAGGGGGGGGGGCAGGGCATTGAGAGAAGGCGAAAGAACGAGAGGGAGAGAGCGCGGCGCGCGTCGAAAGTCGAGGGTGGCAAGTTGGCCGCAAGCAATCCGCGGGCTGAGTAAGCAGATCGTTGATCATGCAGGCGGACTCTCGTGACGCGCTGCCGCCATCCAGTGAAAACCAGCGAAACGGTACGGGTTTCTGCAGGTTCTCATGGACCTCGGCTTGGTACTGCCTTACTACTCGCAGTACTTGGTACTGCAATTGTGAGGGGTTTTCAGGCTTCTGCATCCGCTTTCTGACTGCAGCACTCTCCATTTCCGTAGCGTTTCACATAGCAGCGTTGTGAGGCGTTGCAGGTGGTCGGTCGCAGAACCCCGGAAAAC